CAGGACGTGTGGGACAGGGAAGGGCATCCTCCATTTCTTCAACACACCCTTTCTTCCCATTTTTAGGACTCAGAAAGGATCTAAAGAGTAGAATAATGGTGAATCAGGACTTATAAAGGAGACTACAAATTCTCTTACCAGCACCATGAATCTTACATTCATAACTGTTCATTATATATCCTAATTTTACCAGAAATTTGGGTCATTATCACTGAAGAAGATAGAATCATAGAATCCTTTAGGTTGGAAGGGACCTCCAAGATCATCAAGTCCAACCATTGAGCCATTAGGGCTCTAAAGTCCTCTGCTAAAACAGATCAGAATCTGTCAGGGTTGGAAGGGACCACAAGGATCACCCAGTTGCAACCCCTCTGCCATGAGCAGGGACACCTCCCACTAGATCAGGCTGCCCAGAGCCTCATCCAGCCTGGCCTTAAAGACCCCCAGGGATGGGGCCTCAACCACCTCCCTGGGCAACCCATTCCAGGGTCTCACCACTCTCATGGGGAAGAACTTCTTCCTCACATCCAGCCTGAATCTGCCCACTTCCAGCTTTGCCCCATTCCCTCTAGTTCTGTTGTTACTCGATATCCTAAAAAGTCCCTCCCCAGCTTTAGAAGTAATCTGTCTGTTCTCCTGGGATTTCCCCATACCTGAGGAGAGGTGATCCAGAGCATGAATTCCCACAGTTTATTGTCACTAGTTAGTGAAGCAACTCAATTTGTTCTCAAATATTACTGACCATGAAAACTTAAACCAGGTTTAAGTTAGTCTAGTCTTAAACTAGAAAAGCTTTTGGATAAAAGTGGGTAAAATATAGGGAATCTTTTTTTAAGTCAATAAAGACTTTTTTCACTTTGAACAAAAGACTGTAAGTCATCTTTCAAGATGTTATAACAGACATATTTGTCTTAAAGAGGATGGAGCAAGAACATAACTGCAGAAATGTCCTACTCTACTAAATTCTGTTTTTGAGAGATGGATGTACTTAGTCCTATCCAGTTTTGGTGGCTGCTCCTAATGATATGATGGAGCAGCAAAAATGGCTCTTAAAAAAAAAAAAAAAAACTTGTATAAATATGATATGGGATTTATTAGCGATGAGTATACAATTAAGAATGCTGAAGTACTGTGGCAGTCATTTAAATAAAAAAAGCTACTGTCTTCTGAGAGTGTTTCAGAAAAAAACAAGCAACACTTTGAGTAGGTTATGAAGGATAGTTCAGTGGGTGTAGCAGACCCAGGATACCACTACGTGTTTCTTCTGGGTTCCTGATGAAAGAACAACTTTTATCACCAAGATTCTAGGCTTTTTTTCAGTCCTGTTGATTCTTCAAGCAGGACAAATGGTTTAGTTGAAAGACAGTAAAGACCTTCTACTTTTTTTAGATATTCTTAAACCCATAAAAAACAGTTCAGTCATTTCTCTGAATGCTCAGGATCAGATGTGGAGATGGGTAATATATGAAAAAGCATATTACTTAAAATTGTCCCAATATGGGAGGCTATTTCCAAGATACAAGGAGAAAAGGAACAGATGGTTACTAATAACAGGAGGGTCAGCTCCTGGGTGAAATATCTGGTGTTGTTAATTTAGTTAAATTTAGTAAACAAAAAGCAGATTGATTAAGTAGGATTTCCATTTTCAAAATAAATTGAGAGAGCTAATTAGTGAAATCAACTGAACTGAGCAATTTTAGACTAAAATTTAGTAGAGGCTCGGGATTTATTTTAGGCAAAGGTGAAAAAGTTAATAAAAAAACCCGCATTAGAAATTAGATGAGAAAAAACACTTGGAAGGAAAGTTCTGTGCCAAAGTGAATGATTAAGTATTTTTTAAGGAATGTCTGGAGTAAGCAAAGATCCTGAAAGAAACAGAAAAACAGCTTGATCTGTAAAGGAAACTACTTCATGGATGTCAGAAGGTGTGGGGTTATAGTGACAATTAGAAAAAGTTAACTTAAAACACAAGAAGATAATTTAAATTAACAAGAGAATACTTGACTATATGCAGAATCTTTCTGAGGAGGAAAACTAGAACTATTGTGCGGTGCAAATGGACAAATGGTATTACGTGTATTGCAGGTATGCTCTCAACCCAAAAAGTTTTAATTTTCAGTAAAAACTAAATTTCAGGCAAAGGTCAGAAAATAAATAAATTGAAGAAAAGGGAATATTGGGTAAGTATTATAAATTAGCACATTCAATAAAAAATTAAAGCTTCTGATTCACAGCGTAGTTGTCTGCCAAGGATACTAACAAGTACTGCTGCATGGAACAATGTTTTTGTATTTTAGTTCATGGCTAATAGTTGTCCTGGTTCCGTGTAAAAAGGGGTTCAGGGCAGGACCCACACAGAACAGAACTATGTACTTGCCTCTCCCCCCCCCCCTCAAGAGGGAGAGAGACACTTTTGAAAAAAAAATGAAGTATATTGTTCAACAAGGAACAGAAAATGAAAAAGGGAGGTAAGGAAAATAATATATACAAAGATTAGGGGAATAATACAAAAAGTAAAATATACAAAACCCTCAGAAATGGTTCCAGGGTCCCATGGAGTGAAAGGAGAACTTTCCTCTCCGAGCTCCAAGGCAGGAGTGAAATAAGAAACCACTCCCTGCCTCTTATCAGAGTGTGTGTAGGAAGGGGAGGGAATACAATGGTTTCACCCCCACCCGGGGTCCTCCCAGTTGCTGGAAGGTCACGACCCCATTCCAAGCCTCAAACCGCAACAATAGTATATATTTGAAGAAGGGGAAATGTAGCACTTGTACTCGGATTAAGAGGAAAAGAGTGATAACAAAGCAGCTGTATAGATTGACTATTAGCTATGCAGGTTTTTAGAAAAGTTTTTAAGGAAGAAATAAGAGAAAAAATAAAAGCAAACAGCATAACATTTAGTGTGGATTTCCTGTTAAATGGGAGATTGTGGCCAACTAACCTGCTAGCATTTCAAAATACACATTAAGGAAATAGATTATGTCTGTCTGGACGTCACTAAACCATCTGATGTGGTGGCACAGGAGATGTTACAAAATAGAAAGGATGCAGATTAGTAATAAATATAGTAATTACAAGATGAATAGAGGAATAAAGATTTTAATGAAAGGATTATTTTTAGTGAAGTTTGCAGTGCAACTGACCTTATCCAATGTTTTAATTTGTTGTCTTGCCATAAAATGAGAGACTGCACTGATGGAGAAAAAGTATTAGAAGGTAGTATCCAGTGCAAGCAGGAATAGAGTATTCAGGTCAGACTGGTCCTTTCTGAGGAAAAGGGGACTAGAAGCAGCATGAAATACTGTGAAATAGAGTATTGTACTCGGAAGAACTTTTACTGTAAACCGCAAACTTGAAATGCTGGGCTTTAAACCCCCAGCCCTGAATGAGGGTTGGCATGTGGATGATGTCCACAACCAGGCGAGAGAGGCCTTCCTGATCTTTTTTACCCGGGGTCTGGCCAGCCTTGGGTGGGAACCAGTTAGGAGATAACCACCAAGTGCCCCTGCGTTATCATCAGGTGTCTGGCCTCCCAACTTAATAGCCTAGAAGCTGGCTCTGCTTGCATTAGTATTGGGAAGATTAGTTTTGCAGTAGATGTACTGTGTAGGGCTTCTAGTTATTGGAAGAACTCCCTGACTGTCCACTGCAAGTAGAGTTTCCAGTGACAGCTGGACAAGACCAAGACAGAAAGAAGATTATGTAGGTAATGAGGCTTTCCTGTGGCAATTACTGTATGACTGGAATTGGACTGATGATCTCCTTATTCCTTCCCCCATGACCTGGTTTCTAACTTGTCTCACTGCTTTCTTTGCTACATCATGTACTGTGAATGAATGCATCCATTTATTCCTTTGGTGTCTGGCCATCTCATATCTTTCCTATGTACTTGGAATGGGATGGTAAAATCTTTCCTATACATATACTACTAATGGCCTTGTCCTTCCTACTGGGGCAAGTGGTCAGCAAAAGAAAATTTCTTGTAAATAAAAATGGAGAATAAACATGTAAGAGTGCTGGTTAAGGGCGGCTGTGAAACTGCAAGATGGTGTGGTATGACTGTAGACTGTATGGAACAAGATTTTTTTGATAGAGAAGAAAAACCACTGTCTGAAGAATCAACAGATTAAACTTCTAGTATGCTGTCTATAGCTCCTGTCCCTTTTTTTTGTGTGTAAGAAAGAGGGATTTAAACAAAACAGGGAATAAGGAGCCTCATTTAATAAAAAGATTGAAAGAACATGACTTTCAGTGAGCAGAACAGAGGACACAAAGATGTGCAATGCTATCTATAAATGAATTAAGGGAATGTACAGGGACATAGAATTGTCAAGCTAAATGACAGGTTGGGCAAGAATAAATAGTATAAAACAGGACATGAATAAATTTGCTTTGAAAAATAGATGATTCTTCCTGGCTTTTAACTGTTCTTCAATAGAAGTAATTATTATAGAGAGGAAGAGGTTTCCTTGTAATCCTTGGTTTTTGTGAATGTCACTGTGTATAAGCAGCCCACAGGATATAAAAGATGTTTTGCAGATGCATTACTTAGGTAGTTTCGGAGAAGCTTTGAACTTCTGCCAATGACATAATAACATACCTGGTATACAGTCAACTCAAAATTTTTCACAAAATAGATGGACTTCCACATTCTTTGACTTAAAGTTTGCAAAATCAAATTCACCTATTCGTGTTGTACTTCTGTAACTTTATGCTACTAAAATTGTGTTTATAAGTTGAGAAAAGCCTCAATCAAAACCTTAAGTGCAATTAAATCTCAGATTTTTAGTACATTCAGGCTCCAAATTGAACATGGAGATGAGATGTCTTTTGTCAGCTGTAAGAATTTGAAGATGTAAAGTTGAGACTTGTCTGTGTAAGTTTTGTTGTAAACTAAAGTTACCATGTGTGATAAAATCAATTGAAATTTTTATCAATATTGTGTTATTTATCATCAGGGTTTGTTTTATAATGAAGGTGTTTTATTTCTGTGTTAGGAGAATCAAATGAAAATGGAAGCACACACCACACCTCAGATTCTGATGGAACATTTATTTCTTACAGGTTGGTAATTATTTTTATTTACTTTCTGATTTTAAAATTTTGACTTTAATAAGCATCTATTTAAAGCAAAAGAACAGGTCGGTCTATTTTAATATTATTGTGCAATCTAAATTCCAACAATCAGTAGATGAAAGGACATGAAGGATTTAATTAAGGAATTATCTGAAAAGCTGTTTTCTGGATTATTATTTTTTTGAGAAATTTGTTAAAAATGCTTAATTAATGAAAGTTCGGGATGTTTTTAAGCCTAAATATTTTTAAAGTGTTTTTTTGTGTGTGTTTTTCTCAAAAATACACAATAAAGTAGAAATTCTTACCTAAATTCATAGCTAAGCTAAGCACAGGAAAACAATATTTCATTTCTGATGATGATAAACAAGAGCTAAAGAAACATGATGCTGAGTAACTTTTTGCAGCGCTGTCACTGAGCTTGAGTCTTGCTTAGGTACATACCAGGGGGTGTCCTCTACCTGAAAGCACAGAAAGGTAATCAGCAGATCTGTAGAAGTACTGTCCCTGCTGCAAATGATAAATCATTGTCCTTATGACTGGTAAATTGATAGTAAGATTTGTGCTAGCCAGAACTACTGCATCTGATTTTGATGCTTAAGTAATGGTAAAATAAAGCAGGCTTAGCACATGACTATTTTGGATTCATTTAGTGAATGATGATGGGTGGCATCACTTTCATTTTTTTGTTTGTAGTCTGCTGGAGTCTGTACTTCAAAGAGTTGTAGGCAGGCAGGCAGGTGGAACCTGCCTGTTTGCCTTGCCCTGGTTGCAGCTGGATGGGTGGGGTTATCACACTGTCTTGCAGGCAGGGAGCTGTGCTGGGCATGAGGAGCCTTCAAGTGAGGGGTAGGAGGAAGGGTCGCAGCTCCTGGATAACCTGCCGCAGGCTGGAGACTGAGAGGTTGCTGAGGAGAGCAGGGAGCAAACAGCCTGGTCTTGAGGATGCTGAAAAGAAAGACTTTTTCTAAGGATCTGGAGAGAACAGCAAAGAGTTTGTTGCAATTCAGACGCTCAGAGGAAGCTTCTGGACTGAGAGCAAGGTTGGAAAAAAGGGTGTACCTGCAGGGACACAGTAGGGCAAGGGAGGTTTGATTTACAGATCCTTCTGTTTTTCTGTATCCTAGTAAGTTTGCTCTAATGAAACCTACTCTGATGATATAAAACCCTTCAAGGGCAGTTAGCATGTTCACTTTGAGAAAAATGTGTTGGCAGATCCATTTCATGGTTCTGCCTGACCAAATTTCTTGTTGTATTTGTGTTCTCTAATGCATGCAACTACTATCAAAGTTAAAAGAAGGGCTCAAAAATACTACCCACAGTAATCTTTTTTTTTTTTTTTTTAAGTAAGAAGCATATGCACATACAGAGACAAGCAGTCTCTGAAAAAAATAGGCAAGATAAAATTTAGCCAGATCAGTAAGGAAGGAGTTGAGAGCTCTCTTTGCCATTAATTCCAGGACACTTATTCCTGAAAGTCATTAACTCAAGAGCCCCAGCTGTTATACCTGCCAAGATGTAATACTTGAAGAAGAATCCAGCTTCAGCTAGGCTCTGGTTCTACAATAGTGTAAGATGTGGGGCTGGGGTCAGACCTTTTCTTCCTACCCCTTCTCCACTCGTGCAGTAGCATTCATGTCTGTGAGCCAGTCCAGCAAGCTAACCTAGCCCAACCTGTTCATACTTTGTAGGGAGAGCTCTCTGATGGTTTGGTTCACAGTGTCCACTTGCCAAAGGTTCAAGTGGATGTTGGTGCCAGAGCAAGGAAAGTAGCTAGCATGGACATGTAGACCTAAGTGGGAGGCCAGAGCATAGTACCATTAACTCAAATTAGCTTGAACCATACTGAATCCTCAGCCATCTTTAATGCTCCACAAATAAGTGGAGGTTAAAGCTGGTCTTTGCAGTTCCATATTTCTTAGTCCTAAGTGCATATAATAAACAAAAAGTTGGTTATGACTTCTACAGAATAATAGTCTTATTTTGTCACAGAGGATTACAGCCCGATGCACAAAACTGAGGTTAATTTATAGTTTAAAAATAGTCCTATATACCACTGCCAGAGTATTATTGTTATAATTAAAGGCAAGATGATAATGCAAGATAGTATGGGGTGTGTGTATATATATATATATATATATGTGGGGGAGTGGTGGGTATGTGTGTGTATCTATCTATGTATTTATAGCTATATATATATATAACAGAAACCTCTAACTTTTAATAGTTGGCAAGCTAGCACCATTATTAAGTAGTATTACAGTGGTTAAGGTGTGAAATGAATATTTTCTGCTCAGTGACAAGCAACTCCCATCATATAATGAGATTGGCTGTAAATTTGCTGGTTGGGTTGAATGTTGTGTTGATAGTTACAGTTCTGGACTGCATATTAAATAAAAATGAGCAGCTGATACCTTACAGAAGACAAAAAGTGAATGTTAAACTACCTTGGAAGGTAACTATGGTAAATTATTGTTATTTCTTTAAGGAATCATTAGAGATTTTAGGATACTGTCAGTGAATATTGTTTCATTAAGTTAGTCACTTGGTAAAACTGATGATAGTCTTGTTTACCCAATGTGTTTCAGTCTATTGTATTTAAAAAAGACTGAGTGGTGAATTTTTGCCTAAATGAGACAAAGGCATCTTTGGATCATGGTAGATGTTGTGCTTGCAGAAGGCTAATATACGCAAAAATCTACTGGAAATTTTTACTGAAACAAAAGCTGCTTTGTTTTATCAGTAGCAGTCTCTTTACAATGTATTTAGAAGAGGCAACTCCAAATGTTTAAAAACATTTGAACGTGACTATATTTTGCTATTAAAGTGCTCTTAAAAGCATCTTGGTTTTGACACAATAGGAGGCAGGGGGGGTCTTACTTGGTTCCAACGTTCTACTTTTAGAGGACAATCTTACACTATCCATTACAGGATTCTACACGTGTGTATGTGTTTCTATTAGTAAAGGATATTAGATCATTACCTTTTGATATATTTATGATGCTCCAGAACTGTTTCTATGGGTTTGTCTACAATGATAGTGTCAACCTTAGAGTTTGTGCCTCTTATTTGTGTGGACCACAGCACAGATTTAATGCAGCTTATTTTCAGGTAGTGAGCATTTCTCTTTAGGTCATAAAGTTTTTAAGTAATGAAAGTGAACAGCACATATGACTGGCACATATTTCTAAGTATTCTGTGAGTTTGTGAATGCGTCCTGTCAGATCAAAGAGAATTTTCTAGCTGGTCTTCAGGCTCTGATGGAAGTATTCTTTGTGTACTTGGGAACAAGCTTTACTAGTAAGGAAACATGAGAATTGCTTCCTAGAACTGTGTAATCAAAATTAGAAGTTCACTGTTAGAAAAATTTGAACAAGGATTTAGACATGGAGTAACTTGAATCTTTAAAGCATAAGAAACTTGAGGAAAATATTTGAGGTCCACTCTACTGTATTATCTTTCTGCTATAGTTAAAGCCTTTTCTGGACTTGCAAATTCACCAGACTTCTCCAAAAGGAAAAGAAAAATAGGTGTGGGTCTCTAGTTTCAGTATCTGCAATGCAGTGCCACTGGAAAGTAGAAATACTGTCTTTCTCCTGCCTTCCCAAGGGCAGCTGACCTTCTCCTCGCCAAAGAGGTGAACCCCTTGCCAGCACATATGACTACAGACTATTACATTAATCTGTTTAGCCTCGGTACCAGCTGCTTGCATGTTTTTAATTATCTTATTAGATGGTATAACAGTGACCTATGAAATAAAATGAAGGTGAGTATTTTTTAACTTTATTTTACAGGCTATTTTTCTAAATATATTTTAATGACCTAATTATGACTTTTAGGGAGAGCCATTGATGCAGACATTCAATTTGGCTGATAGAATCTAACATCTCAAGGACACTTATTTTCTTCCAAGGTGGATTCATACATTAATACTGCTTCTAATTTATAGCCTCAAAACAAGCTCACTTTTCATACTTTATTATTAGCTTACTTTATGATTCAGAGACCCATGACTACTATGCTGGATAATTTCTTAATATGTATCTGCACTTGTATACAAGTTTAATTTCTCCCTCACATATCAAGGTAAAGTTCTTTCCTGTGTGACTGTGTGTCATCTATGACACATGATGATTTCTCTAAGTTACAGATTATGTAGACAATGTATATTCCTTCTTCTGCTGATACTCCAAATAGGCAGAAGGTCTCGCATAAGAAAGACTTCCATGTTTTGTTTTCTTCCCCTGACTTCTTACAGATTCTGCTTACCAGATGTTTTCTTCCTTACTGCAAAAAGGCAATGTGGTCCTGCTGGCTGAGGCATGTTTCTTGTGTGCCAGCCAACAACAGCAGGACTGATACTGAGCATAGAGAGGAAAGACAATAAGGGGCACAAGCTGTTTGGCCAAGCGTCTACCCCTTCCAAAAGTGTGCAGTGAGCTGCTTTGATTGCTCTTTGACCTGTGGCTTTTCTTGGCACCTGAGCCAGAAATGGCTACATTGTTTCTGTCCTTAGATGTTAAACATAGTAAGAAGGTGTAGGCAGCTTATGCACCTCTCCACCTGGTAGAAAAGTCTTGTCTTAATCTGTTAGGAAGCAACTCTTTTCCATCTACACATATGTATTTAGCCTTGTTCATACACATGTGGAGTTTCTTTATTGTTTCTTTTTTAAGACACCCCTGTGTAGTTATAGACTATTTTTCTTAACTTTGTCCACTGTGTCCACACATGATCAAGAGCTGTTAAAAACCAAGCTTGCTTCTATTGGGTTTTTCCAATATTTTAAGATACAAAAATCTGTGAATAGAAGACAAAGCAGTGAAGTGGCACTGCACCTCCACTCTGTAAGGAGAATTCTCAGCACTTGCTTCCTTCCTCTCTTTCCCCAAGGTAGTAGTAAAACTGTCTTCCATGTTTGCTTTTTCTTACCTGGAACCATTTGCTAGAGGCCATTTTGTTTGGTGCCATTTATGTGCAAAAACAAGTTA